CTCAATCAGTGACTCTCCTTCATCAATAGGTATTTGTCCATTCTCATATTTATCCAGACAACTAGAATGATTTAGATGTGCCAGTATGTTTTATCCCTTGGAACCGAGCCAGACAGGCTCCCTTAATGAATGCTAGTGGTTGTGATTTATGCGATTCCCTGATCAGGTTATTTGAACTCACCTGCTTGCAGTAGAGCACCCTTGCCAACTGGAGTGGAGCTGTTGTGCTCTTTCTCGGAAAAACTTTCGAACTAATTACATCGCCGTAGGGGCCTGCGGAACATTTTGGTTTCTGGCTTCGTCCGTGAAACGTGTATCCGAAAGCATGAACTGGGGTTTCGCCCGATTAACCTTCGTAATTTGTACCACGTATTTGAGCAGCGCCATATGTCATGACGATTCTAAGTGTCCCTCGATTTCCAAAGTACATTTGTTTCTGGTAGCGTGTTCTGGGTTACTGCAGACATTCCACTTCATCGACGAAAGTTTCGTAATTACACCGTACATTGTTTCTCACTAGGGTAAAATCCAAGGGCGGTGCGTGAATTTGGAATTGACGTGCCAAAAGTTGCAACGTACATGCTGGAGACAAAATTGAAGTACTTCTCAGTGTTTGACTGGTGTACAGTGTGAGTTTGGGGCCAGCCAAACAGCACTGCACGGTATAAGTCAGTCGCTCTACCTCTGGTTTATTTATCTCTGGGTTATAAGAGATTATGCATACTATTCCTTCGGACTATTCCTTCGTTAAAAGCTTTAAAATGCCAGGATATTCCCAATGGCTTGGTAGCCGCCAGTCGACGCAGCCGGAACTTTCGGTCTTTTTCATCAATACGACCTTGGCCAGATGAAATTCAAGAGTTGTGTAGCATTGTTCAGGAATTCGCCAGTCACTTTCGTAATCTCTGGACGTAGTGGAATTCTTATTGAAGATACGTGTCCGGTGGCTTCAGCAGCGTGGTCTTTCGTAAAGGTTTGTCTGTTTACGTGAACACACATGGGCGTTTTTGGGTTGTAAACTTCATTCCCTGGTACAGCCGTCTCAGGTTGGAACACTTTTCAATTGAGTTCTCACATCACTCTGTGACACTCGTGGTGGTAGTGGCACTCTGTGCATTTTTGTTCTTGATATTTATGTTGGCTGTCAAATAACCTGTTCATGAAAGAGCTCTTTGAACTAAGAAACCAAAACCCGTCGCACATTTTATGGCATTAAAACTGTACTCAAGAAATCTATCTTGAACCGTCCGCGACAACTGTGCTAGCCAACCACATTCATTCCGAAGTACCAGCACCTCCAGACATAAACTGGATAGAAAGTAGCAACAAGAACGCTATTGGTATTGATTAGCAGTCATTTCTTGCAGTGTCTCGAGCTGTTCATTGTGAGGCTGGGAGGCTAATCAAACCGACGGTACTCAGAATTTCGGTAATCGCCTTCATAGCCCTCTGCTCCTGTCTAGGCTTGGGCAGCCTGGCACTATCTCAGCTGGTGCGCCTCTGGATGGCATGGCACCTATGCAGCGAGTAGGTGCTACAGTTGAATAACTACGGTTTCCGAGGACCGTTCGCAAGGATCAACCGAAATAATCTTCGGATATCCACGGCATTCTTTACCTCTTCCATCTTCCTAGAATTGTGTTTCCGCCACGTCTTGCTGTCGGCGCGAATGCTGATTCTCATATCACCTAATTTCGCTGGATCGAATTATGCTTTGGACTGGCGGAAGGATTTCTCCAAGATTCAGGAGAATTACACTGATACCTTGGGTGAAGTTGGCTATGTCGTACCGCAGACAGGGTGTAAAAGGTGATTCTGACAAACTCCTCTGACTTTTTAGTCTGTGAGTCGCACAATTGCTCTGTGTGTTGTCCACCGCTTGCGCGGCAATATGAAGCCAAGAGAGAAGCGGACCGGTGCAATATCACCATCTATGCAAATATTCCATGAGAAATGACATTCAGTTACTGGTCCACGCCATCAGTAACTGATGGTGATGTGTTGAATTCGGGTACGTGGCTGGGATAGTGTTGAAGGAAACAATGTGACTACACTGCAGTAGGCCACTCAGCTTCGGAAAATGTTATTCGATAGCATTAGACCTACAGCCTTTTGAGGTGTAAGCATACAGCGAGTAAAACGACGCTGATGTCACAACAACTCCTGGATTGTTATAAGTATGCAGCCGGAAGCGTGAGGGGCGTGATAGGATGGTTAACGTTTGAACGATCCTTCTCTTGTCGTCGTGGAATTTTTCTGGTGAATCCACCCCAAAGAGTAGCATTGAACTCGAATTCCATCCATATTAGAGCTTTCCAGTAATGTCATTCAGACGTTCACCTGTTCCTATATGTCCGGCTTACACTGGTAGAGTAGTGGTAACGCGCTCACCTCGCATGTCAGGTGTCCGGGGTTTAAATCCCGGCACTGTTGCTGGGGTTTTAGTAAGAGCAAGACTTGAGTCCAATGCTTCCCTTTGGTGTGACCTCATCAGATTAACTGTACCAGATGATCATGTGGGTTTGGAAAGTCAAGTATTTTTGCCTTTGAAATGGGGTGGTGTTCGAGAAGTTATGAGCTGAAGATGTAGTTAGTGCATCCATGACCCGGACGGAATCCAGTTTTCAAACTGTCTCTCGCAAGTGCGACATAAAAGTGATGGTGACTAAACTGCTATCCCGATTATTCGCAGTCTAACATCTCATTGAGGACGGCAGTGAAGCATCAATGTTGGACACTGACGTCATGCTGTCATTGATGATGATGATGCATTGAGGACAGAGATGAATCCGTTTCCCTGGCACTTTATTCGGCTTCCAAACGCTCTTCATGGGTTTTTCAGACTGTTAAGGAGTGCTTTCGCAAATAGGACAAGGGTAAGATGGTCAGCAGTGGGCAATTTGTTACGACGGTATTCTGTCTCTTGGCTATCACCATACCTATGTGTGTCCGGATTTAACCTGCTGTAATGCTCCTTCCTGGAATATTGACCACCGGGTTTTTTACGATCCATTGTGATGGAAGTTTTGCAAGACGGGGTACAAAAGAGTAAAACGTACCATAAGAAACCCAATGATAGCTTTTACTCTTATAGCGTGACTTACCTTTTCTGTTTTTGCCAACCTGTTCATCTCTAGCGTGGCAGTGTGGTTGGGGCATCACCAGCTATCCCTTTCCAGCTTTCTAGCACCCCGTGATGAATATGAATTCTGTATATCTCACAGGATATATGTGTATTTCTATTAAGTGTGTAGGATGGGAACGTTGATCGCGCTGCATGAGTGTCGACTGTTAATCAATAATTAGTTCAACCAATTTGCACATCAATTCGGTTTTCACGGGAGACTGACTCAGCTGCATCTCTCGTTTATGGTGCATGATAGTTCACTTGTAAAAACCACAAAACTCTAATGGGTTAATGGGGATAGGTGCGATTAATGTTTCCGCTCAACGTTTCCGCTGACGTTCCGTGGCTTGGGTGTGTAGGGCGTAAGAGGTGCGTAGTGTTAGAATGAATATATAACGATACTTGAAAAAAAACGTTCAGCTGTAACACCTTTCCGGTGCCTACCTGCCATGCCACCCGAAGGAAGCATGAGGACTGGGATACTGCCAGGTTGCCAAAGCCTAGACAGGGGAAGTCGAGAGGCAAAGGTCAGGTTCGAACCACAGACCTTCCGGTCAGTAAATTCGCGCTCTAACCACCTGAGCCATCTCGCTGACTTTCACTCTGATACTAGTGAACTGCCACGTATATATTTAGAGGATTTCGGGTAAGCATACGATTGTCAGGTCACCGAAACAAGTGGTTCTTCGAAACTGCTTCATAAACAGCTCCGCTGATAAACACACGCCGCTCCATGTATGTTCTAAGGTTTCCCATGTCCCCAACATTTGAAACGATTCGTCAACACTCCAGACCTTCCTAAAGCACTCAAGGACAGTCGTGGCTTCATTTTCGCAATTTAGGCATGTGTTGATAGGCAACGGATGGTTAAAACCCTCCATCAATCTATCTGGTATTAGCGGAGAGTAGCAACATGAACCACAAAGGCCTGTCAGAAGTCAACAAAATCCAGTATACATAAAAATCAATCGGCACAATTGCCGTAGTTTGGTCTGAGAAGTAAACTCGTCGAGAAGCCCAACGTGGCAGCTCGCTCATATGAGAAGATCTACGAAAGCACATAATAAGGATCAGTCGTTCAAGCTCTCAGGACAGAGCATTTGGCAGCTATTCAAACAAAGGTCGTGTTTGGACTCTAAACGTTGATTCATACTGTTGATTCATACAAATCTGTAAGATTGTGAAGTTAGCTCAGTGCATGGAAAACGTGAAGGAGGATCCCGGCCAAGCAGCTTACAAGCAGCGAGCAATACTTGTCGCACAATTGAATGAATGATCCTAAGGTTCTGGGATTCCACCACAGAAGGATCCTGTCGGAGAGGAGTAACTCACCTGAGGACCTCACCACCGAGCTACACTTCAGTCGCAACCTACTATTAGATTCTTTTGATATGAATCGTTTCGTCATGGTCCCCGTTCGTTTTATAGCTGTCGTGCAATCCTAAAGGCGCACGTTATCTGGCATAGTACCGGGTTTGCCATGTAGAAAACCTGAACCCTAATGTGTGCACTATTTTCCTCAAACCGCTGAATTATCTCAAGCTCCAGACCTGTCCCGACCTATCTCGGAGAGAGATTAGTAGAATAGATTACGTGGATTATATGTTTTCCTTAGCCATCGTCATCATCATTTACAGCAACACAACGAGAAAACACTGATGCTCAATGTTACGCACCCATGTCAGTTTGGTTGAATAAAGCCTTATGGTGGGAAGGAGAAAAAATGGGATAGGGGACCTTCCCCGGTGATGTAAACTACACTAAGGTGTTTGGTACTGTTTTGTGTTTGAATGTCTCCATGTTTTTTTCTAAATTTTTGAAGAGATTACTTCATTTTCCAAATAACACTTTTCCCTTGTTTAATCAATGTTAGATACTACCGCGCTCCGGAACTCTTATTTGGGGCGCAGCTGTACACCTGTGCGATTGACACTTGGAGTGGCGGTTGCGTCCTTGCCGAAATGCTCCGTCAACACTGTCTATTTATGGGTGTGGATTCTGTGGATCAGTTGGTCAAAGTGATTCGAGTTTTGGGCACCCCTTCCGTAGAAGATATAGCAAGTATGAACCCCATGTACGGCTCATACAACTTCCCGGATGTCCAGTCTTGTCCTGTCAAGCTATTCTTTCCTCAACACACTCCATCCGATCTACTCGCTTTGATGAGTAAGATGCTGGTCTACAACCCCACTCGACGTATCTCCCCTGCCAATGCTTTGGCTGAATCCTGTTTTGATGAACTGCGTGAAATTGGGCCAAACGGTCTTCTCCCTGGTCGTGTACGCATCCCCCCTCACCTATTCGACCCAGATCCACCTCCCATCCCAGTGGCGGCCAACAACAGCACTGAAATTGCTGCAACGTCTCATGCCCCAAATCAACCGAACAATTGGTCGCACACAGACGTGCGGGCTTGGCAGACTTCGAACAAAAAATCCGGAGATATTCCATCAATCGATAGGAAAAATAGCAATGGAGGTAGCAAGCATCCTTCCCGGGAACTCACTGCAGAGATGAATAAAAAGGGTGAGTTATCCGCTGTTGAATTCTTAAATCATGCTATTGATACCCGAACGGAAACTGTTGAATTTTTCAATGAAGAAGCAGTCACGTGGCGTGGTGACATCAGCCTAGGTAGAACAATCGCTTAAAGACTGGAGTATCCTGTAGCAAGCATCTGACTTGACAAGATAGCAATGGTAGTGCAGTATGGACAGCCCATTCTTTAGTCAAAACACCCACGTAAACTTCCAACCAATGCCTTACGACCGATGTATATCTTTGACAAACAATCCAGCGCGATTTACTGTACCCGGTTGTTCAGATGATGGTCAATCACGTGACTAGTGCGTACCGACTAGAGTGAACACCAAAGTTGTCGGTATCGCACTGGAAAGTCAGAAGTAGCGTTAGCAATGCAACACACCTGAGAGATTAGAGTGCACATTCGTTAGAATTAGGGTTCATCTTATATGTACGTATTCGAGTGTGCGATAAAAACCTACCACAATCCTTTTCAAGGTTTTGCAACCTGGACTCCTGTCTGAACTACTCAGCACAGAAGTTACTCGTCACTCAGTCAGCCATTAGTAGACTTGGAAGAGGCTAAAAGTCCATACGGATAAGACAGAGAGTTTTGGATCACTTTAGTATCTCGAGCCATTCTTTGTAGCTGCTCATAACCTTTCCATTGAACCCTCTCGCTCACAGGCCGACAGTCTACAGAAAAGATAGCAGGCAGTGCTACACTCTCCAACAACCTTGGACCAGGCTGTGAACAGAGTGAGACGGATGTATTGTGCAACAACCCCGTTGTGAGAACCAGTGGGAGCAACAGCAGTAATCCGGGTGCCGCTAACAGGACCACAAGTGCGAAGCGAACCAGTAACAACTGCTCCAAGAAGTCTGACAGTCCCGCTAGCCAGCCAGACTATGCTGCCCTGAGCAACGGGAGTAGCGAAAGGCGTGGTTCCAACACTACCACTGCTACCGCCGCCACCACCACCAACCCCCATCAGGCATTTAAGTCAAATCCCACCTCCGACAGTTTACCGGTACCTCACACGAGTGAATCCGAAGTCCTTAATGACGTTTCCAGTTAGTCTAGTTTTTCACTCCTCTCTGGACTACCCTCTCTACGGGTTCACTCGTTCCCATCCCTTTCCCAAGCTTGACGACTAATCTCCCACGCGGGCGCAAATCCCTCTAGAGGTCCTTCGTTTTGTTGCGGTTCCTATCCTGTTCTCCCTCCCGTCTCTACCACTCCTTAACTGTCTGCTGATAACGACACAGCGGGCTCTTTCTGGCTCTAGGCGGGCGCTGCACCGGACACCGACATCCTCAATACTGATGACGCTTCATTACGTAGTTATTTTCCGTCTATACATGCTAATCATTCATTCATACTGATCATTTGGCGCCCTAATGGTTGCTTGTTGTACATAGTCGTTTTTGGTTTTTACGTACATGCCTGCGCACACACAGCATGCTATTGTTCATCCTCAACGTCATTCGTCTCTTTTGGGCCTTCCTACCAATTCATTCACCGCCGTTCGAGGTCCAGCCATCCGCGCATCTGTTGGATACGACCCGCTGTGGTTCTCTCGACTATATCTCATATATCCACTCTCAGATGTCAGTCAGTCATATCACCTGATTCCGCTTGTAGCCTTTGCAATCAGTCAGTAACGTGTGCGCGCTGTTTTCATCCTTTCCGAACACACTCACTGGGACTCAAGAATTGTTCTAGCGGTGATGACATCGTGCTTGTTGAAGTCCAAATCAGCTGGCCAGTCTATGATGACGGCTCTGCGCGCTCAATATAGTCAAATCCACCTCTTTCAGCCCTGTTCATCCGATTTTTCGGACAGGCATTATGTACTTAGGGTTTTTTGATCTCCTAGACTTTTCCGCTTTCCCACTTCTACTCAGCTCACACGTGCTTACGTTCTCATACGCTGCGCACCGGCCCTCGGCTGTTCTCTGTTGCCCAACCTTGGGTGATCTCAGTCAATCTGCATTATGTCTGTTCCGTATTTTGTCTGTGTGTGTTTTACCTCTTTCCGTTGTTTGTCACTCCTTTTTTATTTCAAGGACGTGTGGTGCTTGGCCACCAAATTTACTGCGGGATGTGCTTATGTCACCACGTTGTCCATATCAGTCGATCGCTCCCTTTCTCGTTGCTCTCCCGTTCCTTATGTGATGTATTTCTTGTCCTACCAATCCTCTCCTCATTGATCCCTGAACTCGGGAAGATCGACATTCCGTTCGTCGTTTTACTCCACAACGTCTAGCCCTATCTCTCATGCTGTGCTGTTGTTGTTGTTCCCGTTCTTGTCGTTGATTGTGTCAAGAAGTCCCAAAACGCGCAAGCTGCACCACGCTTCAGTCGACCATTGTGCTGCACTCGCATCGTGGTTATTTGCAACAATCATCCAGTTTGCTACATCCCCGTCAAGAGACACTTGCGTTCGTAGCGCTTGTATATTAGTTATACCCGACCACCACGAGTACGGTTATTTACGCACCACCAACTCAGGCACCATCCATTTAGCTTACTCCTGCTCCGCCCCCACTCCCCCCCTTCCCCCGCTTTTTTTTCTGTCGAGCGTTGTCCCCCCCCCCCCCCTTCCCCCGCTTTTTTTTCTTTCGAGCGTTGTTTTGTTTTGGAACGAGACATATTACCAGCAAACAATGCATTGATAAACTCATAACGTGTGTCTGAGTTCCGTACGAACCCCATCGCTCCTATCAGCAATGGAAGCTTTGCAGAATACACACACTTCCACCGTTAGGACCATGTGCGTGCACGTCGGCAACACCGTATTCGTCACTGTTTCCGTTCTCATTGTCGTCCAGCCTGTCTCCCTTTATCTCCCCGTCCTGACTATCTAAGCCGGCGTCCGTATCCATTTACTTTTTCATCACAAAGCGATTTGGAACTTTTTTTCTAAAGAAATTTAGTCTGCACCAATCATTTGACCCAGTCTACTACTTTTATTCTCTCGTTACAACCGGGGTCAAGCTGATCCCCCTGTGGTTACCACACTCACTACGCGCCCCTTTTTTGAAAGCATTCATTCTGAACCTGGTTATTGTGCTAAATTTGCCTTCCACCGCTGCAAGGACGAGATGCCCGAAAGCGTTTAGCCAACAAGCATTACAGAGAAGCGTGTGTGTTTGCAAGTTATTAGTGCACAAGCTATGATAGCCGTAATATAACTCATAAGGTATATGCACCAATAACAGCTTTTACTCTGGTTGACAGTAGTGAGTTGCACCATGTATAAAATAAATGCAGTGCGAAAAGTGGAGCAAGTCAAAAGCGGAATTCATCGTGTGTGAGAGTTCCTTGGTGAAAGTCCGGACGGCGGCGACGTGTATCCTCCGCAGTGTAGCTGCTACGCGTGTTCCTTAATTGTCCATGAACTTGAATTGTTTGATGGGGCGAGATGGACCAGGTAGTTAGAGCGCGAATTTACTCACCGGAAGGTCTGTGGTTCGAACCCGACCTGTGCCTCCCGACTTCCCCTATCTAGACTTGGGCAACCTGGTAGTATCCCAGCCGTCGGGCCTCCCTCGTGTGGCACGGCAGCTAGGCAGCGAAAGCGTGCTTCAGCTGAACGATGAATAGTTTGGTTGACCCTATGTGCGCGCGCGAGTATGCGTGTGGTGACTGTGTCGCGTCCTTCTATAGATAGAATTGTTCGGACTTGTTATCGGTCTACGTTCCAAGCGGGACAGGGTTTTGACACGTGATTTGAGTGTTTGTGGAATAAAGCAGTTGCGTAATCTAGCGAGCACGGGTGTACTAGACAAATCAAGCGAAGTAGGTTGATGGGAACACGGAAATGTTCGCTACAAATTGCAACGTCCATGTCTGAAAAGCAATGGATTTACTGGGTTTTCTCTCAGCTACTGCGGAATCGTTCGTACTAATACTATGTGCACTTCAAGAAGCGAATAACTCTCTTCGGCGGTGAGGGTATCCGACTCTCGTGTGTTCATCAGTATTATCAGTTGTAAGAACCGCGTACTTGTCTATAGTGGCTAATGCCATCACGATAATTAATAATTTAATAATCACCGATAATTTGGGAGGCGGCGTAGGTAGCTGCGCATTGAAGGCGGGAGCTGATAAATTGGTGCGTAAATATAGGACTGTTAAGTGGGGGTTGGGAAGGGAGCTATGCACTGAAGGCAATAACTTGTATTCACGGGCGCCATTGAGGGTGCGGCCGGGCCATAACCATTGATGTAGCCCATCTCGGGGTCCCCATCTAGGAAGACGGCGGTGACCAGCGCAGCTGAGTTTGTTGGTAATAGCTTTCATACTTCGCCGCCAACTCACTGTTTGACCTCCTCTGACCCGTTTCCACCCTTCACGTGGTTGTGCGAAAAGAACCCTACGAGGAAGTCGGTCGACTGGCATAGGCAGCACGCGGCCAAGCCAGCGCACCCTGTGGACACTTGCAGACATTCTGTCACCAACAATCCAACTTCGAAGTTAATGGAAGTGTGAGGAAAGTTGTACATCAAGTGGCTTGCACTAAGCAAGACGAAAAATTCCGAATGGATAACAGTAGTGACTGTGCCGAACGAAGACAGCAAACGACTTCATCCTGAATATGCCGCAATACATCGACGTGTCAAATATGATCATTATAGAAAAGACTGCCCCTTCGGAGTAAGAGTAATCATCGAAAAGCCTGTATGGTTGAAATACACTCAATTTCAGAGAGACTTAGCTGAATCTAGTTTGTGATGTTTCCAGGCAACTGAATGTGCTGCACCAGGCCACCTCATGTTCCAGTTGCTACGATATTCGAGATAACACGACACATGTATAATTGTAATGCACTACTCATAAGGTGTCTGAAAATTCTTCGACAGCCCACAACCGGTTTCGCCCTTTTTGGGGCTCGTCAGGTAGGAGCAGTCCCCGAGTTTCCGTCAACCTTATGTTGTACTTGAAACCCAATTGCACAGAACTAGCGAAGTGGAATAATCGGAGTTTCGGTTGCTGTGAGCAACCTTCATCAAGGATTTCCACAATCAAGTGCTCCTGAAATCAGACGGATGCAACTGGCATGTGTGTTTTAGATCTGCGTGCACGTGGCCGGGATTTCCCCCCGTTTGTTGTTGTGCTAACTCAGATGCGTCACTGTTGAGAAATTCCTGCTTGACATCTGGTCACTATATCTACTAAGGTGTTCAGCAAGTCCAAGCCAGATGGATGGGATTCCCGCTCCATCGCTACGATTGACGCATATCGGTTGTGTTCAACGGTACTCCTGTAGCGCACGTCCGTTCCACATGTGGCTCGATTCCTGACGGGTAAATGTGTGCCCTTGAAGTTGATTTGACAGCTTGACTCCATTGCTCGTTTTTTATTGGCAGTAGGAAAGAGATGCACCTTTGACCCCTTGATATCTTTGTGTAAAACATGCTCTGAAGTGTCGGGAACGTTTCTCGGTTGGATCTACGTTGTAGATCAGTGTTTAACTCCAGCAATGGTACTTTTGCGTTTACGTTGGATGTCATGAGGTCCAGTTTGCTGTAAAAATCTTGGCAAACCAATTGCGTGCCATAACAGTTTCTTCTATTTGAAGCTAGAGATTTCTAGTTGCGCTCGGTTTCATTCAAAGATCGATCTGTTCTGGAAAGGGGCACTTCCGCATTACCACGTATCCAATTATCCGAATGTAAGTGGATGTGGTGACAGACATATCAATGTTAGGGCTAGGATGTGCGTGAGACGGACCAAGTGGTTAGAGCGCGAATTTACTCACCGGAAGGTCCGTGGTTCGAGCCCGACCTCTGCCTCTCGACTTCCTCTGCCCAGGCTTGGGCAACCTGGTAGTATCCCAGCCGTCGTGCCTCCTTCATGGGGCGTGGCAGCTAGGCACCGAAAGGGTGCTACAGCTGAACGATTTTAGGATACGTGCACCTGAAAGGTGTGAGCTTGCGGGCATCCCAACGCTCCCCGTGGAACGGCAGTAGAACCAAATTGACAACCACTAAACTGTGTGCAAATCGTATAGACCTACTGCATCATTCATAGGGTTGCTGAAAACTCTTCGACCACTCACGACCGGTTTCGCACTTCTCGAAGCTCATCAGGTAGTTACAGTCCTCGAGTTTCCGTCAACCCTGAGAGCATCATAAGCGAGAGGTTCAGCTGAGTCTCCAGTCGAAACCAAATTGGTATGCAAATGAGTCTATTTCGCCAAAGTGTGCAAAATCATTGCGGTGGGCGGATGCATGCGTCTCAGAAAGCAAAGACCTATCCCGAATGGTTTTCCAAGACTTAGTTTTTTTCATTACTGTCTGCGATTGCTGACAGCTCTAGTCTAGACTGATGTGACATTGTTCAGTCCAGCTGCGACTGGGAATTTCATATCAGTCTGACCACATATTGGCTGGAAAGATATGCTAGCGTCACCCTTTCCTTACTGCTGTCTATGTTCTCTGCTTTATGCGAAAGTCTGTCATTTGCTGATCGATACACACTTACCAATTCACACGATATGCAATATGGGACGTACTTTTGACGTGTAGCATCCGTTGTTTGCTGATGAGTTTGGTCATCAGTAACTAACTTTTTGTCAGTGATCATAAATAATCTGACTGCTTTTTTGCTCATGGAGCAGAGGATCTTTTGGGTTCGCACTTCTGTTCTAGCTGGGTGATTTGGGAGATTGATGGAACTTATTCCCTAGCGTTTGATAGTACTTGGGTGGGAAATCCTGAGGAAGGAGACCGGATACAGATCGGCTATATTCAGGCTGAACCAAGGGAAGAAAGAGCGCCTCGGCTCAGTTGGCTACAACAGAGAGGAAATGAAATCTCAGTGTAGTACTACAACAGGTCAGATTATTCGTTATTATCTGACAGTCCTAACAACTTCTTTCCTGACTTCCCCATTTCAGTGCTCCGAACCTGTTGGAGGCCATTCGTCGGAAGTTGGCTACTGAGAAGAGTAATCTATTTTGGCTCCTACCAAAACGTATATTGTTCTTACTGAAATGGCTTGTCCGTTAATTATAGTTCTTATACGTCTGCTGGTTAAACACCATTCAAGACTAATGCCGAGGCCTCTCGACTTCCCCTGTCTAGGCTTGGGCGGTATCCCAGCCCTCGTGCTTCCTTCGGGTAGCATGGCAGCTAGGCACCGGAAGGGTGTTACAGCTGAGCGATTTTTTTATTGTGAAGCCTTGCCATGGGACGCGTGTCTGTGGGGATATCTTAGAATGACAGATATCAGAAGGATCAACACAGCTAGTCACGACAGGGAAGGTACATTCGTCGCAACTCTGGTAGTTCATAGGTGGAACCAGACGGGATCGACCAACTGCGATCACTGTGGGTTAGCTTTCCGAAACGGACCCCGAATATAATATTGCTCTGTGAGCTTGCAAAAGTTGTCTGGATCCACGCGGTTTTGTGTATTCAGGAGGACAGGAAGAGGTCCAAATTCGCGCCGCATGGCAGTTTAAGTCGGAGCCAGTTCTGTTTGTATAACTAGCAAATTGCTGCGTGTAAAGAATGAATCAAATCAGATGACATTATATTAACCACAGT